AGCAAGTTATTATCGGCGTTTTGTGGAGGGGTTTTCATCTATTGCAACCCCGATGACCTGATTGACCCAGAAGGGTGTCCAGTTTAAATGGTCAGATGAATGTGAGGCGAGCTTTCAAAAGCTCAAGACAGCCTTGACCACAGCACCGGTGTTGGTTTTGCCCACAGGTTCGGGACCTTATATTGTATATTGTGATGCTTCCCGAATTGGGCTTGGTGCAGTGTTGATGCAGGATGGCAAGGTTATTGCCTATGCTTCGAGGCAGTTGAAGACTCATGAAAAGAACTATCCAGTTCATGACTTGGAGTTGGCAGCAATTGCTCACGCATTGAAGATTTGGAGGCATTATCTGTATGGCGTGGCATGTGAAGTATTCAGTGATCACAAGAGCCTTCAGTACTTGTTTAAGCAGAAGGAGTTGAAAATGAGGCAGAGAAGATGGTTGGAGTTGCTGAAAGATTATGATATCACTATTTTATATCACCCGGGAAAGGCAAATGTGGTGGACGATGCTTTGAGCGGGAAGTCAGCCAGTATGGGCAGTCTTGCTTATATTCCGGTCAGTCAGAGGCCGCTTGCTATGGATATTTAGGCCTTAGCCAATCGTTTTGTGAGATTGGATATTTTCGAGCCTAGTCGAGTGCTAGCTTGCACGGTCGTTCGCTCTTCATTATTTGAGCGTATTCGCGATCTTCAGTTCTATGATCATCATTTATGTGTCCTTAAAGACACGGTTTAGCGAGGAGGTGCCAAGCAGGTCACCTTAGATGCTGATGGAGTTTTGAAAATGCAAGGGCGAATTTGTGTACCAGATGTAGATGGGCTTCGAGAATTGATTCTAGAAGAAGCTCACAGTTCCCGGTACTCTATTCATCCAGGCGCAGCAAAGATGTATCAGGATTTGCGGCAACATTATTGGTGGCGCAAAATGAAAAAGGATATTGTTGAACATGTGGCGCGGCGTTTGAATTGTCAGCAGGTTAAATATGAGCATCAGAGACCTGGTGGTTTATTTTAGAGAATTGAGCTTCCTGAATGAAAGTGGGAGCGAGTCACTAAGGACTTCGTTACTGGTCTCCTGATGACTCAGGAGAAGTTTGATGCAGTTTGGGTTATTGTGGATAGGCTGACCAAGTCAGCACATTTTATTCCTGTTGCCACCACCTTCTCGTCCGGGAGGTTAGCAGGGATTTATATCAGGCAGATAGTTCGCCTTCATGGGGTGCCTATATCTATCATTTCGGACCGAGGTCTGTAGTTTACCTCGCATTTCTGGAAGGCATTTCAGAAAAACTTAGGTACCCAGGTTCAGCTGAGTACAGCATTTCATCCCCAGATGGACGGTCAGTCCGAGAGGACTATTCAGATATTGGAGGATATGCTCCGAGCATGTGTTATTAATTTTGGAGGTTCGTGGAATTCGTTCCTGCCTTTAGCAGATTTTCCTTATAATAACAGCTATCAATCGAGCATTCAGATGGCTCCTTATGAAGCTTTGTATGGTAGATGGTATCGATCTCTAGTTAGATGGTTTGAGCAGGGAGAGGCTCGGTTGTTGGGTACGGATATAGTCAAGGAAGCCTTAGATAAGGTCCAAATTATTCAGGATATGCTTCAATAGCTCAGTCCAGGCAGAGGAGTTATGCAGATCGCAAGGTTAAAGATTTGGCTTTCATGGTTGGCGAGCGAGTATTTCTCCGAGTGTCGCTTATGAAAGGCGTGATGAGATTTGGTAAGAAGGGCAAGCTTAGCCCTAGGTTTATTGGCCGATTCGAGATCCTTGATCGTGTGGGAAAGGTGGCTTATAGACTTGCTTTGCCACCTAATTTGTCAGCTGTGCATCCAGTGTTTCATGTATCCATGCTCCGGAAATATCACGGCGATCCATCACATGTGTTAAATTTCAACACTGTCCAATTGGACAAGGATCTATCTTATATGAGGAGGAACCGGTAGCTATATTGGACCGGCAGGTTATATAGTTGAGGTCGAAGAGTTTTCCTTCTGTGCGTGTTCAGTGGAGAGGTCAACCTCCGGAGGCATCGACCTGGAAGTCCGAGTCTGATATGCGGAGCTGTTATCCTCAGCTATTCTCTGACTCAGGTACTTCTTTCTTTTGTCCGTTCGAGGATGAACGGTTGTTTTAGATGTGGAGAATGTTACGACCCAAAGGGTCATCACTTGTTTTATTAGTCATTTTGAGCTTCTAAGGTCTTGGAAAAATCACTATTAGTTGTCTCGATTTGCGTGCGCAGTCCGGGCGCGAAGCCGGAAAATGTTCTTGTTGAAATATATGAATTACGTGAAAAATTTGAACAATTTTGATATTAATATTGATATAGTTGACTTCGGTCAGCATTTTAGGTAAACGGACCCGGACCCGTGATTTGACAATTTCGGAAAATCCGTAGAAAAATATGGGACTTGGGCGTGTTTCCGGAATTGAATTCCGAGGTCCCAGGCCCGAGAAATGAATTATTTCGTGAAATTATTTTCTGAAAATGTTTATGGAAAATGAAAATGAAATTTGATCAAAACGCAATGGTATCGGGCTCGTATTTTGGTTCCGACACCTGGTACAGGTCATATATATTGGTTAAGCACTTCCTGTAAAGTTTGGTTAAAAATGGACGTTATTTGACGTGTTTCGGCCTTAAATTGGAAAATTTGGAAGTTATGAAATTTTGAAAGATTTCTTGGATTTAAGGTTTAATTCATTGATTTTGATGTTACATTGGCGATTTGATCACACGAGCAAGTTCGTATGATGTTTTGAGTCAGCGTGCATATTTGGTTTGGAGCCCCGAGGGCTCGGGAGTGTTTCGGAGGTGTCTCAGAGTGATTTCGGACTTAGGAAAATTTCCAAAAAAATTGCAGAAATAGTACCTGTGAGCACGTCATTTTTTCTTTATGGAAACTATTCCAAAAGAAATCAAAAAAATTAAATGCAGTTACCTTCGGGTACAATTTTGAGAGCTTACGGATAATTTTTTGGTAATTGTTTGGTCCGTAAATGCTCACCTTGTTGTGATTAAATGAATAATAAAAAAAATATATGTTGCATGCATTAGAAGTTAATCGTACGCTTTCGGAGTTAATTGATCGTAATTCGATCGAAAGGAAATTGCGAAAGTGTGCGGTTATACTCCTCGTCATTGTGTAATTATGTTTAAATGTGCAATTTGTGTTATTTTCATTTAAGTGTGTAATTTATGTTAGTTTTGTGTGTTAATTGTGTAAAAGGTTTCATTTTTGTTTTAATTAATGTGTGCCAATTGCATAAATTTGTTTAAAAGCCAATGTGGCTTTATTTGAAAGAGGAGGCCAAGCTTTGCCATATGAAAAATAAAAGAAAGTGGCCATTTGTGCAATAAACATCGGCCCAACTGAGCAGCCCAGGTCCGTTCCAAGTCAGCTCACCAGAGCTACGCACGAGACGGCGTCATTTTAGTAACGCCCATCTCAGCCTTCCGATATCATTGATCCAACAGTCCACATCTCCACCCGTCTACCTGACCCACCTAGACCCAAGACCGACCCGTGCCCTACTAACCTGAACAGCGTTGTTTCAAGCAGCAAGGTTGATCCAGACCGTTGATCACAATTGATCTAACGGCCCTGATTGATTGGCCTAAATTTAATATATCGAAACCCTTAGACCCGGTCACATTTCACAAACACACCCCCTAATCTCTCTTCTTCATTTCCTCTCTAGAGTCCAAGAACCCTAGGCCGCCGTCACAGTTTTCTTCTCCATTAAACCTGGCGGCAAAGCCGCCGGTGACCTCGTCCTTCATATTCCCATGACCATCTGGTCATTCTCTACCCGATGGTACCGGTTTCAGGCCATTTCGAGAAGGTTGCTGGAAAACCCTAAAAATTATCTAGGGTTCCATGGGGTCAAGGAAGGAATTCTGGGTCTAAGAGACCCTCAAGGGTGTTCTCACGAGTGTTCTCAAACGAGAAAACACTCCAAGTATGGGGCTTGTGAGGTCCTCCTGTGAGATCGAGTTTTGAAAAGAGTCTGAAGAAAAGCTAAGTCCCTCTTTCTTAATTTTTCTTTTAGTTATATGTGTGTGTGTTACATATCTGTGTTTTCATGTGATTCTTTACTGTGTTTGTCCCTTTTACATTTGTTCTGATTCATCTTCTGAAGACCCTTTCTTTGGTCGTTTCTTTTAGCTTTGGTAGTTGTTCTGTGTTGTTTATGTGTTTAATCACCTTAGCCTAAATCATGTTGCTCTAGTTGTTGTGTTTTGACTGTTAAAGGCCATGGGAATCTAGACTCTGTGTACTTTGTTTTTATTTGACTGTGAAACCATGCTTAATAGTTTGTGTAGTCATGTAAAAGAAGAGTCGTCAAGAAAGCCAGGCTTTATAAGCCTCCTTCTCTGTGACCTTAAAGTCTTGGAACCCCTGGTAACTGTTGACCACCCCTGAAATCTTGGTTGTCTGCTATCAAATGTCATTTGTGAAGCAACTAAATAAGGGTCGTCAACTGAATCCCTTTGAAAACTTAAAGAGCTCAGCTTGCTTATTTTCAGCCTGTATTTTGCCCTGTTCTAAAACTGTGTATCCTTTGGCATTGGCCTGAGAATGTGAATGTTTTATTAGTGAGCCTTTGATTTGACTGAAATTTTTGTGAATTAGGCTTGGTATTAGCTAATAAAATTGTAGGCTAGAGATTAAAATTAGAAGGTTTGAACTTAGGATAAATGGAGTGTTAACTGTGATAAATCAATAAGTCTTAAAAGCGTGAAAATTAGTTTAACTCCAGGGTTTTATAGTAATGAGTTCAGACCTTGGCTTAATGAACATTTGAGGTTAATAACAGATTGGGAATTAGGGGGTAATTTAGGGGGCTGCTAATATATTTAGGGGTTACAATTAGGGGGTTGCTAGATTGGGTAGGAGGTACATTAGCTTTTAAAATAACAAACCAGCTTAGTGGGAGTGGTTTAAAAATTGAAATGACAGGCTGCTAAAAGGACTAACAGAAATGCCTATTTAAAAGGTCCTAAAAATCAGTCTAAAAAAAAGAGGAGAGGGACCTGAAAATAGAGAGTGAAAAGAGAGAAAAAAAATTTAGAACAAAAGGAAAGGAGAAGAGTCTAAGAAAGTATGAGTATTTGGTTTCCTTTTACTTCCCAAAATTAGAATCAATGTTTGTGAGTGTTTAGTAAAACTTCAAAGTATTTTCCTTCTTTGAGTGTTCAAAATCAGTGCATCTGGTTCTCTTCTACTTTGCATGTGATTGTTTTTTTTGGTATTGCTGGAATTCTGTTGAGTTTTTCAAATCTGTCCCGGGGTTTCTATTACTGGTTGTTATTGGTTATTGCTGTTGTGTTGCTGTTGTGGTGTTGTTTAGCTGCTTGATACTAGTCTACTGATCCTCCTCTCTTCTTTGTGTTCAAATTCCAGGTACACAGCTACCGTCGTGTTACACAATGTAAGTTGTAAAGCTCAAAGTATGAATAAATATGCAGCCTTAAGGCTTGAAGACATTAGTTGTAGCTATATTCTGAAGTTGTATATATGTTATTAGTACATTAGAGTCATGTGAGTGGTTGTGATGTTTGAACAAAAACTGATTTGAATAGCTTAAATTTGCAAACTCAATACCATGTATGCTAGTTAGAAAAGTTAATGATATAGCATGCATGTTCCGCTATTTCCAGTTTCATTTCATTTATAGCACATTCAAATGCACTCCACATTTTAAGTTGATTAAGTAGTAAAAATTCTCCTTATTAATAGCTTATAAATCTCAAACTAGTAATATAATGTAGAGGTGCTCAAATCAGAATTAACATGGCTCAGTCCCCGACTTTGTACCTTATGATTGGGCCTGGGCCCAAACTGCAGCATTGCCCTCCTTTCCCCTCACTTTTTGAACCAATATTTGGGTGAGTATTAGTGTTGGGAATAATTAGATAACATATATTCATGTTTGTTAAAATTAGCATATTTCGAATGTGTTACTTTCATATAGTTAAAAACGCTTCAGCTGTAGTGATTCAATTATAGAACAAGATGAGATAAGACAAGATACTGTTAAGTTTAATAAACTTTTGAGTAGGCATTAATGAGTAAGGTTGATTTTAGTTTCAAAAATAGTTATAAATAATTAACTCTAAAGGTTTATTCATCTAATAATGCAAGTTTAATTTAGCTAGGGTATAATAAGTTTATTCTGATAGTATTAATTGTAAATTCTGTTTATATTTATCATTTTTCGTAGTATTTGCTTATAGAACAAGGCACGAAAATAATTTCCTTTTGCACAAGTTTTTTTTGTGATTTTCCGGTTACATTTTTTTTAATCTGATAAGTTAAGGTTTTATCAAGCATGTAATTAATTTAGGATTTTTCTCCTTTTATTTTTAGAGACAAACTTAATAGAAAAAATGTAGTCACTTTAGGATTGCCCTTTTAAAATAAAATGAGACGAGCCTCGCCAAATAAAAATGCACAAATTGTGGGGCCCTCAATAGAGGTTCAAAATAAATATTTAGATATCGGGACGTGCCGTTTAACAAACTGCACGGCCTTCTCCAAAATAATAACATGTTAGACTCTTTAGGCGCGTATTTTAATAATATTACCTCCCTAAACTCGGGTGTATATTTATGTAACCCAAATCCAAATCTCAACAAAGTCAAAATGTGTCGACGACTACGTGTTCACTGGTTGTAACGTAGTTTGAGATGCATTTTCATGATGTTGCAATTCTCTGTAAAAATAACATTAATAATAATAAAAGCGGTAAAAGAGTTAAAATTTGCACGTAAGTTCATAATTGTTAAAAATCAGATAATAAGCCGAATATGACAGTTGAGCGACCGTGCTAAAACCACGGAACTCGGGAATGCCTAACACCTTCTCCTGGGTTAACAGAATTCCTTATCCGAATTTATGGTTCGCGGACTATTAAACAGAGTGATTCTTTTCCTCGATTCGGGATTAAAATCGGTGACTTGGGACACCCTAAATCTCCCAAGTGGCGACTCTGAAATAGATAAACAAATCCCGTTCGATTGTCCTTTAATTGGAAAAACTCCCTTGCGCCCTCGCGGGTGCGAAAAAAGGAGGTGTGACGGCTCTGGCAACTCTGCTGGGGAGACCGAACCAAGAACGTTTTGTTCAGGGTTCAGAATTCGATCTTAGATAAATTATTGTATTTGGTTATATCTGACTTTCCTACATGTTTCATGCTAAATATGCTAAATGTTTACCGCTTTGATATTATCTGACTGTATATATAAACTGTGCCGAACCCTTCTCTCTCTACCTCTAGGGATGTGTTTACTGGTTGAGACTCCCTATTCTGTTAGTGTCATACCCTGAAATAAGAAAGAGGCCGGATAAGTTACGAAGCCGTCTAACCCCGCGGGTCACCGGTACGTTGCTCCCTCCTCGGCTTGAGTTGCCCGCTCAAGTACATAGTCTAGGATACATACCCAGGTTTTGAACTTAGAAAAATATGACTTTATACTGGATCCCTAGTAGGAACGGTTATTTGCATCATGCTGCATTTGACTTAGAGAGCTCAACATAGGGGTTGGGACCATCTAGAAATAGCAACCTGAAACAAAAGGACCATCCTGCTACATCCCGTTTGATTTGTGTATCTATTTGTTCAAGACTTACATGTTGACCGGCTTGCGAAATCAGGGATATTAGAAAGAAAAAAAAAGAAGTATAAAAAATAACTGCCAATTTTTCAAAAAAGAAGTAGTGTCAAATTTTGAAAAAAAAGGGTGTTGCGAGAAAGAAATTTTACTCTTTTAAAATCTAGTGCCTGAACTACGTCGGTTTAATTCTCACAGGGTGTGGGATACGTAGGCAACCCTCATCGGGTCCAACTACCTTTTTTTTTAAAAAAAAAATAATCAAAAAAATGTTGTTTTTACTCGGGCAAGACTGTTTCGTCAAATATAGCCGAATGTTCCCTGAAGGGACGCCAGAAGGCTGATTTTGCGCAAACAGCCATTTTTGGTCATTTTTGGATTTTTTTGACAAAATTAGCCCATACAAGCTTAACTCCTCGTCCTCGAGGCTCTGAAAGGTCGTAGCCGCAATGGTAGGTTGTATCTCTGAAAATTAGTTTTAAATACGTCGGGCGAGGCCGTTTTGCTAAAATAGTCGAACATTCCCGAAAGGGATGCCGGAAGGCTAACTTTGCGTAAATGGCCACCTTCAATAATTTTTTACTTTTTAGCCGGTTAACCCCTACAGCCTTAAATTCTTCATCCCGAAGTACTGAAAGGCCGTGTTCGGAAAACCTATTTTTTTTTTTCTTTTTTTTTCTCTAAAAAAAATAGAAAAATAGAAATTTATCTTCATTTTGTTTGTCAAATAAAGATTTTTCTTTTTCACCTTAATAAATGTGCAGAATGAGCACGAGTCAGAATTCATTTGTAGCTATTATAAGCAAGGTCCCTCTGAGGTTACGCATGTGGTGGAATGACTTAGCAGAGATAGAACAAGATACAGTCAAGTCACACTTGGGAGGTTTGGTCGGTTTACTGAATATTAATCCGAGAGGGGACATAATACGGGCTTTGATCTCCTTCTGGGATCCGGCACATAATGTATTCCACTTTTCAGACTTTGAGCTCACACAAACCCTGGAAGAATTGACCGGATACATCGGGAGTCCTAAAATGCCCTTGAAAAACCAGTACCTTATTGCACCGAGGGCATTAACCGTACACAAGTTCTTAGACATTGTGAAGATCCACAGAAATGTATACGACCCAGATTTAGCAGAAGGATTTTGTAGTCTGGCATTCCTTTACGAAAGATACAGTCATTTTGGAGGTTTCAACAAACCCGAAGGTAAAATCTGCAGTGGGTCAGACCGGCGGAAGTGGGAAGAACATAGGTGTGTTGCTTTTATGGTGGCCTTTCTGGGCCTTCTGGTATTCCCCAGAAAAGATGAGAAAATCAATATACAGGTCATGGGAGTCGTCAGCACTTCGCTCCAGCATAACAACAGCACGTTGGCACCAATGATAGTGGCGGACATCTTCCGTGCCCTTACTGTTTGCAAAGCCGGAGGGTATTTCTTCGAAGGATGCAACATACTACTCCAGATGTGGATGATAGAACACTTGTGCCATCGCCCTCGGTTTGTAAATTATGGTTCATCAAAAAAGACTTGTATAGAAGAGTTCTCCATAAGGGTGGACGGGTTCAGTTTGCTAGAGGGAAGAAAAGAATGGGTAACTTTCCTGCGATCAGTCTCAGCAAGTCAGATATAGTGGGAATTCGGGTGGCTTCCCGCAAATGAAATCATATATATGTCGGCCGCCGAATCTTATTTATTGTTGATGGGTTTCCACAGTATCCAGCTGTATGCACCGTATAGAGTATTAAGACAGTTGGGGCGATGCCAGATAGTCCCAAAAGACGAGGATCTCAGTAGCCGAGTGGTCGAAATCAGGCCTGGCGGGCAATTTCCCGAAGGAATAGTGCGCAAAAGTTGGAGTGAAAGTCAAACCTTGCCAGCAAAGACTCTTATAGAAAATCGGTCCGAAGGTGAGGTATCCCCACACTACCTCCCGTGGTACCGAAGAGAACTAGAGTACCAAAGACCAGCCAAAATACCCCACGTCCAAGATTTTGCTGAATCATCTCAGGCACAATGGGGTTGGATGGAAAAAGAAAAGGGATATCAGTTTGAGATTGGCAGGCTAAAGCAGCAAATCGAGAAGCTAAAATATGAAAATAGCCTGCAGATTGATGTTGATACAGGGGAGAAAAATAGGTTGACTCAAGAAAATGAAGCCTTGAAAGCCAAAGTCCAACGGGTCAGAAAAGAAGCCAACAACCAACCGAGGAGTCGATCTGACCAGAGGTTGATAAACGGATTAAACCAACAGCTCAAGGAAAGTCAAGAAAGTTTGGAGAAATCCGAGGCTAGCAGGGCAAGGATGCAAGTCAGATGGGAGAAAGGCACAAGGGAACGAAGGAAGTACTTGCAGCAGGTCAAGAGGGGTTATGAGATGAGCATCGAGATATTAACAGAAACGAACTCCACTTTGCAAGAACGAGTTGTTAGACAGGGCCGTGAAGCTAGGGAAGAGAGGAAACAATGCTATGACATGATGGCCATAATGGAAGCACAAATGGAAAAATTCCAAAATCGACTTGTAGACAATGCACGAGTATTGGGGTTAAAGAATCAACAGATAGAACAAATGTTTAGAGAGAGGGATGGCATTCAGGAAAGGATCGATGAAATTGGACGTTACATTCACATGAGGTACCTGTCATGTGAACAGATGCCCCAGGATGCCCTCTTCTCCTCTGTCATGGGCTACATCCGTCAAATCATGGGGGAACTAAAGAATCTGCGAAGAGGTCTTACACCAAAGCCCGCGAAAAGGCCGAAAGATGCTAGCGGGCACCAAAATTGAAAGTTTTAATGCATTTTTAGTTTGAATTTGTATTTGTTGTTTGTTTTAGAGTCCGTTTTCGTTGTTTTTTAAATCATGCTCAGAGTCTGTATTTTAGTTTTCCTTTTTCAAATGAGTAGCTTGTAATAACATTTTGGGTAATAAATTGAAAAGCTTGGTTTTCCTTTTTTCTGTGTTTATTTCTATTTATGGCAGAACTAAGCCAGGTCCGATTCACGCGGGGACGTGATACGTAGGCTATCCACATCGGATTCGACCACCGCTAAAAAAGAAAAAGAAAAGAAAGAAAAAGGAATGGCTTCCAATGCACTTGAAAGACATTAATGAAATAAGCCGGGATGACGCATGCGGTTGGAGCAAAAACATGTTAGAAATGGTTAACTTCTTAGGAACATTGCATCCCCAATGTGCAATTACCAAATCTGTTAAACTCTAACGCTAACAAGTTTTTTGTTTTCCAATCCAGACAGTTAGTTTGTTAGAGCATACTGGCATCGCACTATTATCACACAAGATCAAAAGGGCCCAAACCCGAAAGCATGACTGGATCAGACAACAGCGTTGAGCCGAAAAAGACGATGAGTCTCCTACTGAAAGAGGCCATGGAAAAGATGGAAAAGATGAGGCTGGAAATGAATGAAATGCAGTTGGCTTTGGCAAAAGCACAAAAGGGACCTGAAGTACCCGTTACTCCTACCCTCCAGCCAGGACATACATACCTTTCTCCCGATCCCTTAAAAAACTTCTCAAGCCATCACTACTATCAAGAAAGGGACGCCTATGACCCCCAAGCACCACCACCCAGTCAAAACCATCCTCCGCCAAATGTCCCTATCTTTATAGCACCTCCCCCAGCCACATTGCAAAGATCGCCAAGTGAGCCATTGTTCCAAGCTCATGACACCCAATATTACCCTCTTGAACCCACTTTCAAAGCCCCTGAGCCATACACATATACACCCCATTTTGAGGTTCCGACAGAAACTGAAAAGCCTGCTAAGAGCCCAGAACAGGAGGAGGTAATGCGGAAATTTAACAGCCTGGAGCAATCCTTCAGGAGCATGCATGGGTTAGGCAACCGAGTCAGCATGTCCTACAAGGATTTGTGCCCTTTCCCAGACGCCCAATTGCCGGCAGGGTTCAAGATGCCGAAATTCGATCTATATGAGGGACACGGCGATCCTATGGCACACTTACGGGGTTTTTGTAGCAAGATGAGAGGAGCGGGTGGCAAAGAGGAGCTACTGATAGCTTACTTTGGCCAAAGTCTGAGTCGATCAGCACTGGAATGGTATACCCGACAAGATCACAGCAAGTGGTACACCTGGGACAATCTCGCGCAGGATTTCATAGGTCACTGACCGTCTCACATTACTAAAGATTGGGAAGAAGCCCGGAGAAAGTTTCCGCGAATTCGGTTTCCGCTGGAGAGACCAAGCAGCGAGGGTTGATCCTCCCATGAAAGAGGGGGAAATAGGGGATTACTTCCTATAAACGCTGGATCCAACTTACTTTGGTCACTTGGTGACGACAATTGGAAAATCTTTCAATGAAGTAGTGAAGATAGGGGCTATGATAGAGGAGGGAATGAGGTCCGACAAACTCCTGAATTTTTCGGCACTTAAGGCAACAACCTAGGCCATTTAGAGCGGAACGGGAGGTGCGCTGGGGAGGAAAAAGAAAGAAGAAGTCACCACGGTAGAGGCTGGCAATTGGCCCAAATCTAGAGGTCCTTCCCCCCATTACCAACCTAGACCCCCTCACCCAAATTACCCTCACATTCCAAATTACCCTCCACAATCCTACTACCCGCCACAAGAACAACACTTTTCCGTCCATCAAGCACAAGCATACACCCAACCTCCGGCGTGCCCGCAATGGTGCGCCACCACCACATAATACATACCCAGCACCATATAATACACACCCATCTCCACAAAATACCTACCCACCACCAAGGGCCTACAGAAATCCCGCAGGGCCAGGTTTTTGGGGGAATCAGGCTTTCAGGAATGAAAGGGTTCAGAGGCAGAGAACATTCACTGAATTAGGAGAAACGTATACTGCTTTATTCCACAAATTAAAACAGATAGGTTTGTTGAGTCCTATTGAGCCCAGATTGCCAAATCCCCTACCTCAAAATTTGGACAACTCGGTAAATTGTGAATATTGTTCGGGAGTTCCCGGACATGACACCGAGAAATGTTGGAAACTCAAGCGTGTGATCCAAGATCTTATTGATACTAATAAGATTGAGGTTCAGGCACCCGAGGCACCCAATATTAACCAAAATCCACTACCAGCCCACCACGAAGCCCTCGTGATTGAGATTGTGCACGGAGAGGGAGAGCCCAAGCAGCCATCACAGACAGTCATGATGACCCGGGCCAGTTCAAAAGAAAAATCAACCAGTGGGGAAGTGGAGGTACCAGTTAAGAGGGAAGATGTTAAGCCGGTGGTAATATCAGGGAAGAGCCCATCTGCCACTACGAAGAAACCAAAGCCAACAAAATTGGTAGTGTCTGGAGCGTCATCTGCATCTGTGGTGGTTGTGAAAGGAGTCTGCAGGGAACCGGTCATCATAAATCCGGTAGTCCAATTGTCACTGACAGATAGCAAGGTCGTGCCTTGGAAGTACGAAAAGGCAATGGTGTTGTACAAGGGAAAGTCAGTGGAGGAAGTTAGTTGTAAGGCGCAGGGGCTAACTCGATCGGGACGGTGTTTTGCTCCTGTAGAGTTAAGGAGGTCCAATCCAGCAGTGGTGAAGAAGCCAGTAACGGAGGAAGAAGTTGAGGAGTTCTTGAAGAAGATGAAAGCCCAAGACTACTCTATTGTGGAGCAACTAAGAAAGACTCCAGCCCAAATTTCGTTGATGTCCTTGTTAATCCATTCCAGTGACCACTGCCAGGCCTTAATGAAGATCCTGAATGAGGCCCATGTTCCAGATAAACTCTCTGTAAATCACTTAGAGAAGATAGTGCATAAAATCTTCGAGGTAAATCGAGTGACATTTTCTGATGACGAATTGCCAAAAGAGGGTACGGAACATAATAAAGCCTTATACTTGACTGTGAAATGTGAAGACTCGGTAGTCACCCGAGTATTGGTGGATAATGGGTCAAGTGCCAACATCTGTACTTTGACCACTCTGAACAAGCTAAAAATTGATCATGACCATATTCACAGGAACGGCGTCTGCATCAGAGGTTTTGATGGAGGAGGTACTAACTCAGTGGGTGATATCATACTAGAATTAACCATTGGTCCGGTAGATTTCACCATGGAATTCCAAGTGGTGGACGTGGCAGCATCATATAATCTTCTATTGGGACGACCTTGGATCCATGCGGCCAAAGCAGTACCATCTTAATTACATCAGTTGGTGAAGTTTGAGTGGGACAGGCAGGAGATAGTGGTGCACGGAGATGACGGCACAAGCATTATGGGTGATGACGTGGTCCCATTCATAGAAACAGAGGATGACAAAGGGCCATGGGTGTACCAAGTTTTCGATGGGGTTTCATGAACAAGATTTCTGAAGGCGAGGACATCGCGCTTCCCAGGATCACAGCTACGACCTTCATGATCGCCTCAGAAATGATGAGTTGCGGGTTTATACCGGGAAAAGGTTTCGAGGCTGAGCTTCAGGGTATTGTTCAACCTGTCTCTTTGCCCAAGAATTTGGAGACCTTCAGGTTGGGGTTCAAACCAATGGCAGCAGATGTGAAGAGAGCTCGAAAAATGAAGAAGAAAGTTTGGGTCCTTCCCAAACCGGTTCCACTTCTCTCCTGGTCTTTTGTTAAAGCAGGTGTTAGTAGGTCGTCAAACCCAAAGATTCTTGGACCATTGATTGGACCAGATGGAGATCTGGATTAGAGTTTTGAAAGATTATTTGCTGATGTCAACATGATCGAAGCTGGAGAAGGTTCCAGTAAAGCAGACATACAATATGTGGGGCCAGGGGCCAATACCAACAATTGGACGGCTACTCCTCTTCCTATACGGAGGGAGTCTTGGTAGTAGGCTTTGGATTTTCTTTTGTTTCCTGGATTATTCCAAAGCTGTAATCCAGTTTTGGTTTTGTTTGTACTAAGAAAAGTGTGAAACTTTGTTATTCCGCATTTTAATAAAAACGAAAGTTTCCTTTTCTTTTCTTGTTTTTAATTTTATTTCTTTTTTCTGAACAGTTCTTTTATTACTGGTTCCAATGACATGGCGTGCACAACGGATCTTCAACCTAGTCTAAATAATCAATCTGACTCCGAATTAATCGTGCAAGAGATCGATTATGATAATGAATCAGAATACGATGAAGATGAGGCCTTTGAAGAGATAAACAGAGAACTCATTTTGAAGAAAAACCTAAGCCTAATTTGAATGACACTGAAGTCGTCGATTTAGGAGATGCAGACGACGTTAGGGAAACCAAAATAAGCATCCACATTGAACCAAGCATCAGGGAGGAATTAATCAAAGCACTCATTGAATTCAAAGATGTTTTTGCATGGTCGTATGATGACATGCCGGGATTAAGCACCTATTTAGTGGTCCACAAATTGCCCACTGACCCGGCATGCCCTCCTGTCAAGCAAAAATTGAGGAAGTTTAAGATAGATATGAGTGATGATTAAAGAAGAGGTAACCAAACAGCTACAGGCCAAGGTTATTCGGGTCACTCAATATCCCGATTGGTTGGCCAATGTGGTACCAGTGCCGAAGAAGGATGGGAAGATCAGGGTTTGTGTCTATTACCGCAACCTGAATAGGGCGAGTCTAAAGGTTAACTTTCCATTGCCAAACATCCATATCTTGATCGATAATTGTGCCGGACGAGAGATTGGTTCTTTTGTGGATTGGTATGCTGGGTATCATCAGATTCTAATGGACGAAGAAGATGCAGAAAAAACAGCTTTTATTACGCCATGGGGAACTTATTGTTACAGGGTGATGCCATTCGGATTGAAGAACGCTGGGGAAACTTACTTGAGAGCAATGACCACTGTGTTTCATGATATGATGCACAAAGAAATCGAGGTGTATGTAGATGATGTGATCATCAAATCCAAGCGTCAGAAAGATCACGTAACAAACCTAAGGAAGTTTTTTCAAA